GATGATATGGTAATTCATCGGACGATTTGCGCATGATAAAGTAACGAACGGACGCGTAGAGGAGAGATATCTTCTCGAAATCGTAGCTGTGTTGTTTCTATTTTCTCAACCTCGCCAGACTGTCCACTCGTATTTCTTTATTTCCTTCGATGATGCTCCCTCGTGGATCTCTATCGCGTGAATATTTTGACGATCCTCGGGATTCTTATAGCGATATTTTATAGCGTTTTTGTCGTCCATAGACAGGCGAGCCTGATATATCTTCCCGAGGACGATTCAAAGTCCACCAGTTTATTGGATTCGATGGAAGTCTCTGATATTCAAATCAATTATGTGCGCTTTTTCTGGTGGATTTAAAAATACATCTGACACTCGGTTTTAATATCGATCGTTTTAGGAAGAATAAAGACTCGAGGAGGCTGTTGATTTATCAATATTTTTAAGTCGAACTAGGGACGTTGATTTTTCCGCGCGTCGCGCACGCGGGAGCCGGAGGATTCGCTAAGCGGAAAGTGTCGGGTCGCGTCCCGTTGTTCCGGAAAGAATGGTAGGAAGCTGAGACAAGAGGTGAAAAGGAACGGTCGCAGTAAGTAGCGAACAGCTCGACAATACCCGACGGGAGTGCTTTTTAGCTCGCGGCTCTTTTACCCTCCTTTCGCTGCCATTCAGCGAGAACGTCTCGCCATTATTGGCCATTGTGGCGAGCAGTGTAGCGAGGCAAAGAAAACGCCCGTGCAACCCCCTTCGCTCGAATCCCTCTCAGTGGGTTAACGATCGTGTTATTAGCGCAAATCAAATTGTCGACTGTCTCACGAGAACAAAATGAAATGTTCCGCAGTCCAATTTATCGGCGACACGCAACAGCGACCCGTTAATTTGCATATCGAAATCGAACGCACGCTTGCTTAAAATCATTCTCTGATTTTCTTTTCTCAAACTCCTTTATACCCTACTGGAGACTGGGATATTAATTTTGGAAACTTTTTTCATCTTACACGTTTGTGAATAATTTTAAATTACAGTGTATTTATTACGAGTAATTATCATAATCCTGTTATTTTAAATAATATTTGTATAAAAGATATACGTTGGTAGGAAATAAATCATTGTGAAAGGCATCGCGTGAGACAAACGGATCCAAGAGGGTTAAAACGGTCAACCCTTCCTGCGATTCACAGGAACGAGTGTCCTAACAACTTAAACACGTATATCCGTTAATCCCTCGTTAATATGCTTTCGCGTGATTCTCCGCGTCGTTTCTTTCCCGATACATACTCAATAGAGAGGGTCGTTTTCGCTCGGGTAATCACGCGATTCCACGAAATTCTTAATGCAAAACGTTTACCCAATCAACGTAACGATACTTATGTTTTTCCTTCTTTTTCAAACGAGCAACCACAGTAGAAAAGCGTTTTCACGATAAAGGTAAAACTGGTTTGCCGCTTTTCACGCGATCCCTTTTGCATAATCTCGTCCCTGGTCATTGTCGTATTTCAACCGCGTTTCATCCGGTAGTGAACCCGTTTAATTAGCAGACTATAAAACACACAGCTAATACAATTTACACGTTCGGTTTGCCTATTCACTGTTTTTTCTTGCTGGCCTGATAAACACAAGTGGATCGAGCGCGATCCGCGAAACTCCTGGTTATCCGCCCGCCGCGCCGCGTTAATTGCTGTATTTTCTCTTTATCGCTATACCATTCGAGACATGAGCATCTTAAACGAGCGATAACGCGAGTTTCGAGCCTATTACCGGTGTCTCGATACCAATTATTGGAAGCTTCAGACCTCTTCTGTCCGCGCAATCTCGGGTTGCTCGACGTTTCAATTTACGCGCCCAGTTTCACCGCAATCAGGAAAGATTACATTTAGGAAATCGTAAGTTTTCAGGTAGCCTGAGAAAATTTCATCCGTGCTGATGAAAACCATAGATCGATAAATTCACTTAAAATTTTCATTTTTCTAAACGAACAAATTTTTCAATTTTTCACAGCCAACTTCTTACCAAATATAAAGGTAAAACTTGTAGCTGCGCTATTCAGACCTAGATGCTCTATGGTAACTCTAATTCCGTTTGATGTCCTTACGCAATTCGCGAGCAACGGTTAATCTTAATACGGTTTTATAGCTCCATCAAGCGTTCACGAGCGTTACGAGACGCGTCGCGGCGTGCATCGTACCGTTGCAACGATTATCCCGCGGTTCGAACGACGCGGTTGATCACCCTTTTCAGGCTAATTGTCGATTAAATGGTGGCTGTTTATGATCGTTCGACACCGCAGCGGGGACCTTTTACCGGTGCACTCGATCGTCGTACGTGTCCCCGCAGCGAAATCACGATTTATTCTGCTGCTTTTTTCATAGCCCGCCAAGAGCATGCTTCAACGAACGTTTACCCGCTTGTGGGTTCCTCGAGCGTTTACCTGCATACAGGGTGGCCCATTACCTGCTCGTTAAACTCTCTGCGTTTGCGCTCCCGATCGCGAAATACCGCTACGTCTTTTCGTAATCGGTTTAATTGCACCGGGGAATGTTCGTCCGCGCTGTTTGTCGTGTAAATCGCTCGAAACGAGGCTGAACCGTTTCTATGGAAGTTAAACATTGTGATTTTTTTCTACTTTAGAACAATGTCCTTCGATAATATTATGTTGGTTCTTTTATAACTGCTGATATTAAAGAATTTAGCGGATGGATTTATGAAATGAAAATAGATACATATGATAATATTAATTTTCATATTTAACCCATTACAGTACAGAATGATTCAATAGAACATGGACATCAGCGACACAAACTCACCCCCTTAATCGACGCTTAATTATCCTTGAAATTAATTAATTTTCCTACGAATAATGGTTGTTGATATGAAGTTTAGTTCGACCAGGTGCGAGGACGCGTTAGATATATTTAGAAGACACCCTATAGAAGGAGGAGAACCTGCGGGTCTTCGTGGGTACAAGGATGGTCAGGAAAGTGTCCAGCAGGCCAGACCGTCCAGGAGCGGTCACCCATTCCAAGGGTCATCCACTGGCTCTCCTCTCACTTAGCATAAAAGGGTAACTAGCAAATGCTCAATGCGAATACCATAATGGAACGAGTGTCCCATGGACATAATTAGGCGCTACCCATGGGAAATTCAGACCCCCATTTCGGGCTTTCCGTTTTGTGCGGACTCTACATAAGCTGGGCACTAGCAAAGGGTCATCGTTTGACGGACAGACAGGCACGAAATGCTTCCTATGTACGTTTTGCCTTTAGGCTAAAGTACATGTACTATATTAAATCTAATAAAATACTATACTGCTGTGAAACTTGTCTTTAGATTTCTTTTTGAAAAAAATTTCATATTCTTCAGACCCATTAAAATTCGGCACTAAACATGCAAGGATATAAATATAAAACGAACAGGCTAAACACAGTAGGTTTTTCTTGAAATTTACATAACAACAAAATAACATATTTAAATTTCAGTCGCGTGAAACATGACGGCGATAAGATGAAAAGTTGGGAATCATTCGATGGAACGTTAAACGGAAGTTCACTTACGTCATGTGCATTATCTATAACATTTTTATCAGGGAAGAGTTATTTTTCCACGATGTTGGTCGTTTCGAACAGGGTTATCGTGGGAAAGCGTGTACACGCGACACTCGAATACCATAAAAATACCGACGAGTTGGAGAGACGAGCTAGCTCCGTTAACCATACGAGCATTAATCAATAATACATGAACATGGAAAGGGAATTCATCGAAACTAGTCTCTTTGAAATCGCTAGATTCCGTGAAGAAGTAAACAAGCATTTGACGTTGTATTCGACGCGTAAATTTCGTCCCGCGCGCGCGTAATTCAAAATACTTCACGATTCCCGCGAAACGAGAAAAAGAAGTCACGTGATCAACGATTCTGCGCAATTGGGAGTTTCCCGTAAATCGCGCGGTACGGCGTGTCGTCACGACGCAAGCGTTCCTTGTTGATACTTTTTTCGTCGAACTTCGAAGTGAATCAGAATAATTTCCTCAAAACTGTCACGTAGAGGCTAACCGTGGTCGGTGAAAACAGTTTTCCTATGTTTTCGTGAAAGAAGAATATTCGTCGGTGCTGGAAACACGAGCTGTCGAAAACAGGACGTACCGCATGGTGAGTAACCGAGACTTGTCGAAAAAAGAAAAAAACAAGTATCGAAAAACTTCACTGAAAACGTTTGTGGCAAATCGCGTACGTGAAACTGACGACGAAGTACGATTGAAAAACATTCTGGAAACGGGATACCATTACGGAACGATCACTCGCGCCAAAATCGTTTACGCTTAAAAAAAGAGGTTACGTAGCTTCGAGACTGACTTCCGACATCGCGTTGAACGGTAAATTGTCGTTGCGTCAATTTAAACTTAATCTATCTCGAGAAATCTTACTATCGGATTAATGTTAAAGTACACTCACGGTTACACTTTTCTGGACGAACGATGTCAGCGTTCGAAGATACCGATCCGACGAGACATGCCTGTAGATCAATATCGGGATTGTTTATCCTGGTACAACATATTCCTCGCGTACAGAAATGTTCGAATACCCGGAGTTTCCAGACGACGATAAAATGAACACACACACTCGTCGTTTTTCTGGTCTTTTCGTCGGTACACGAATATGTTGTCCACTTTTGTCACTGTTTCTTTCGAACAACACTCGCGCACTGTCGAATGTATCGTTACGTCTTTTTCTCCAACAGATGGCACGATGAAAAAGTCACTGTATTACCGGAAATTTTCGAGCCCGTGCTCGACGAAGCTCCACCTCGTCGACTATCTTGCAAACTGGCTTGTCGAGTCGTTGCGACGTGCATTCATTAATATGATAATCATCCAATACGTATACGATGCCTCTCGACGATCATCGTCTTCGTTGTCTTCATCATCGTCCTGCTCGTCGACGGAGCGTCTGCACGGCGAAACAGCATCGTTAACTCATTACGCGATCGAGACGAACGAGATGACTGGTGACGTCTGTGATTGGCGCTCGATGAATATCGTGAACCGAGGAGAGTCACGGACGGTATCGATTCGATTATCGAACGGGCATATCGAAAAAGTGCAAGTTCGTTGGGTGGATGATCGCCGCGGTGTCGCCGAATCGAACGTTTCCCGCGGTTCAACAAACAGCACAGCCCTTTCGGAGCACATCAATGAAAAACGATGGTATGTATAATTACTTTTTCTTTGTCTACTGTTTGGAGGTCGATCGACGACGTGGTCCCGCGACGCGTTTTCTTCCTCCTCACAGTCACTCTCCGTGTCCCGATACGTTTTCACGTATCTCTGCTTATTTCGTTATCGTGCCTCCGCCTTTACCGCTACCTCCTGCGTCTTTCTCATCCTCCACCTTCTTCTCCTCCTCCTCCTCCGTCGTCGCCACTACCACCACCTCCACCTCCTCCTTCTCCGTTTCTTCTTCCTCCACCTCCAGCTTCTTCACCCTTCTCCGATCAGAGTCTAACCTCACTACCTTCTACGCCTCGTCGTTCTCTCCCTTTTTCTCTTTCTTCCTCCTCCTCCTCCTCCACCTCCTCCTCCTCCTTATCTTCTTATTTTTCTTATTTAACTCAACTTCCTCTTTTCAGTGCGTCCGAACAAGCTAAGGAATACCACCTCCACCTTCCACCTCCGCGCACTGTCCTAATCCCTGAGCTGTCCTGATCGTCGTCGCCGACGAGCGTACCGCGTATATCGCGCACGCCGACTAATTTTCGGGACGAACTTTCCGGTTCGGTGTCTTGTATTGGACTGTGCAGAAGTGGCACCTTCCAGTTTCTGAACTTACATCTTGTCAGGTAAGTGTGAGCTTTACCCGTGTGCCCCGTAGACCAGACACGGTTCGGTATGTCGGTATGAGTGCGTGTAGCGCGCGGGCGCGCCACCGAGCGGGCACACGGGAGCGAGCTACGTGTGCCGGGGCCCGCCTCTCTCCCTACCCGAACCTCTAACCTCGCCTCGTCTCGCTCGCACTTCGGGAGCTGGGACCGCCGCCATACGCGTTTTGATACGCGCTACTCTCTTGACGGTCCGCGTCCGCGTCTCGTGCGCGCTCTTTTACCCCGTCGTCTACCTGTAACGCATACACGCATCTCCGCACACTCGGGCGCCTGCGTACACGCACGTCGCGTCGTGTCTACGGCTTTACCCCCGTGTGTCACCCGTAGACCACTGGTAGCTTCGTATGCTCGCATAGGTGTACATCTCCTTCTCTCTTTTATTCTTTCTCTCCCCCCCCCCCCCTCTCAGTCGTATCTCGCTTTCGCGTTTTCTCCTTTTTCAACTCGTTCCTCGTCCATCAGCTCCCTCTTTCTCTTACCACCTCTTTCCATAGGTGCGTAAGTGCGTGACTCCGGTGCTACGGGGACGTTTAACGTGTCGCGATCCCGTCCTATCCCTACTACCGTTTTCCATCGGCGCTGATAGAAGGAGAAAGAGATACTCCACGAGGTGGGGGTAGTTTTTAAGGAGGCGAGATAGGGTGAATTCTTTCAATTAGACTCTTCCGGGGGTGAGCTCGAGGACGTCGTGTTTCTGGTTTTCGCGACGGATAGCATTCCTCGCCGGTGTGACTGACCGATATTTGCTGTTGTTGTTTATGGTCAATTAGCAAACCCGTGTTGCGGGACAGTTAATTAAATTTTAGAATTTTGACCTTTATTAACATCCGGTTTGAAAATTTTAATATTTTCTAATTAGGGATACACTTATGAAATATTCTAATATCATTAGAGTCTTCATTTATTAATTTTCATTAAAAAGAAAAAATGATATTTCAAAATCATTGAACCCGAAACTCGTCCTCGTCTCATAAGGGAGCAGTAAATGGTTGACAATATCCCGTAGCTTTTACGATCAAGAATAGTTTCAAGTTCTGGGGCTGTGATGTGTACGATCTCTCCTAGAGCACGGTAGTTCACTCGAGGATCTGAAGAAATATATACCTCGAGTGAAAGGCTGTGCAAAAAGGCCTTTATTGCCACTTACGATAATTCTCTTAATGCGCGTGTCAAGCACGAGGCGCCACAACGACTTGCTTCGTTAAATATCACGAAACACGTTGGAGTTGGTAAAACCGTGCGGCGGATTAGATTTTATCGAAACGGTTCGCTAATCGTACGCCACGATATAACACGGCCAGCCACGACCTACCACGCGTAGCAAAGTGCATGCAACCGGTAAAGAGATATCAACCAGTTAGCTGGACGTGAATCGTCGTCGTTTCTGGCACGAATAATTCACTCGGCGAACAGTACCTCGGGCGTGGAAAACACTGATCTCCATTACCCCCGTTCTTTTTTCAACGATGGAAACTCGAGTCGTCGTCGAAAGTTTCACTGCAATGTCACCGCTAACTATCTCGATCATCTTGATCAGGTCAAAGACCCACCGTGTGAAACTCTATTGTACTTCATTGAATTAAATCCATTTTAAATCAAATTTTTATAACGAACCTACAATTAATTACCAGAGAAAATAATTCGTCATTCGAATGACCAATGTATTCTCTATTATTCATCTCGAATCTGTCGATAAAATACGCGACACGTTCGATAGGGAAAAACAAGTCGGTTAACGGGTTCGCGTAAAGGCAAGATTAGTCTGCACCGCGTCGATTAAGCAGCGAGCAAGAAAGAACGTTTCGAGGACGACGCCCAAGAAACGCGTCCGATGGCATCCGATGAATCCGATCGAATTTAATGAAAACGCTTTCATCGGTGCTCGGTACTGCCCGAGGCGTACCCGTAACGATCGAATTCGCCCGTTTCAGCAGAACCTCGGGCGTGGAAAACGCGGATCTCCGTTTCTTGCACGCGATCTTCGCCTCCATTTTTTCCCTCCTCCGCCGACGACCACGACTACGATGGTAGTTATACGCATTTTTCTTTCGCGCTTGGAACCCGATCGACCACCAAGGGGGCTGGTACCAGAGAGTTTCACCTCTTGGCCGGCTATTTTAACGAAGTACCGCGACGGTTCGCAAATAACAGATAGTTTCACGACCGGCTCGTCGTTCGACGACCATTTTTCCATGCAGCACGATTCGCGTTTACACCCATAACGGATGCTTCATATATAGCTATAACGAGGCTGATCGAGAGCACTGGTTGCTCTTATAGCGATCAGAAAAAGGGAAACAGAGTATGGGACGTGGGAGGGGAAAAAACGTGGGGAAGAGCGTAGGGTAACTGTTGATCAGGTAAAATACGAACTAGTCCCATTAACGAACCGGTGACACTGTATTTATCAACAGATGTACGTTTTTGTGAAATTTTTTCAATTTAAGAGCTTTTGAAAAGAGTTAGTGTTGCATAGAATTTTGGGTGATTTTGATCATTTACTTTGGGTGCTATGATAAGTGTTAACACTAATGAAATTAGATTCTTCTACCCTCTGAATAGTTCAACGAAACGATTCGTCGGTTAGAAAGTCACCTAGATAAGGACGTTGTAAGTTACGTAAAAATCAGTCAGGTTCCATTAACGAAGTCCGCGACACTTCCTGTATTAATTAACTCGTTTGTTTTTTACCATGCGAAATCCTGGTCATTTAAAGTATCTAATTTACGTTGTTATCGTAATCGGGTAGATAATTTGCGATGCCATTATACATGTTTAATGAAGTCGCGAATATTTTTCCCGTTATCCGATCGGTATTTCAATATTTTTCCCCCGAAAAAGAGAAGAAATTGAAAATGAAGTCGAAAATGTCAAACGACGAGAGCGTTGAACTGTCAACGTTACATTTCCTGAATACGTTTGGCGAAAGTGGAGAATTCATTTTTCTTATTAGCAACAATTTACATTCCTCTGCGGTCGCAAGTAGTAAGCGTGCGTTATTAGTCAGACGTAGCACTTCGAATCGCCACGATCAATAAAGGCAGCTTAAGACGGTGCGCGGGGTGATGATCGTTGAAAAATATTAATAATATGCTTCTGGGTTTCGGAAGACCTTGGAATTTCATCGAACCTCGGTTTCATTCACAAACTATGTTTAGCAGAATATTAAAATTCACCTCTGAACGTCCTCCAAGAAGCCATCTATGCAAAAATTTCCCCAAAAATGATGAATCGGTGTATAATACGCCCCTCTGCGCTCCTCGAGGCGCGGTTTCATTAACGAAACCCTTAAATCCTGGGCCAGGAACGATTTCTGTCGGTGCACGTCGAGACGGTACACGCTTCCATTCGCTCGCGCCCCAGTATCTCATGCCAGCGTTATTACCATATAACGATAGCCGTGCGCAAGAAACCCTCGGCAGCGGTGTAGAAAGAAGATCAAAAAAAAAGAAGAAAAAAGAGAAAAAAAGAAAGGAGGGATTACGAAGTCGAACGGACACGAGACGAACAAGGATTACACGCGTCGTGTTGTGCTCTCGGAGCGGCGTTCGTCGCCGTTGAAGCGCTTCGGACGATTTATCGGTTCTCTTTTCGAATTCTTACCGCGCTTCATAAAAACGACGTCGCACGTTATGTCTGCTGTGCCGTCGCGCGCGCATAACCGTGAATCGTCGTTACGTTTGTCATTGTCGTTATAAATAAAAGTGGCCGCCGGCAATCGTATCCGAGCGGTGCCGGCGAGAAAGAGAGATCTACCGCAGATATTGCCGGGTAAACGCGTATCCCCTCGCGTCTGCAGCGACAGTAATGTCGGACCGTGCTCTTTTATTACTCCCCCTCCCCTAAAACACCGTCCCTCCTCTCCATTGGCCCAGTAAATTGTACGCTTCTCCTTTTTGCTTGCTACGAAAAATCGTCGAATCGATCGTGAGACCACGGGACGCGATTCTTGCAGCGCGTTTCTTTTTTAATTTTGTCTTTAGAACCCCGCCCGGTTTGCCATCGCGCGATAGATCAGCTCGAGGGAGGTTCGTTTCGGTACGCGAGGCGAATTTCAATTGGGGCGCCATAGCTGACGGTAGGTTTCCTCGTTTCTGTTTCTCGGGAAATGCCGCCTCGCTCGCTTTTGGACAGAATGTAATTTAGATCGGAGATACGCGTTTCAGTGAAGTCAACGGGCGTACGGGCGGAGAGGGTTTACGTGGAGAAACCTTCCTTAGAATATAAGAAACTGGATTAGAATTTTTATTTGAAATATAAGTAACGTTTCAGGGGAAATTGGAAAAGTGTTGAGATATTAAATAATCCGTATCGAGATCTGGTACACCCGATGGAAAAGCTTATCGCGAATTAATTACGCAATGCTACGAAGGGAAATTTCTACGGACGAGCGATTATAGCGTTTGAAATTGAATTTTTTCCGCTTTACGGCCGAATGCCCTGATAGAAATTGGTCTGAAAAGGAGAAACAGCCACTTTCAATCGGTCGAGATAAGTAGAGATTGAAAGAGGGAGAGAGATATGTATATATATGTTTCAAAGAGGGACGAAGAACTGGCTGTCGCAGGTGCGTTTAATCGGGCTGATCCGCTGGACGCGTCGAGATTTTCGCTCTGCTCGAAGTAGCAACGACGATCGACGTTTACCGCTCTCACTACCGGCACGTTGAATGGAACAGGACTATTTAGTTAGCCGGCGGGACAACATTTCACGCGGGAAAGACGTCTAGTCTCTCGATAAACACGAGCTGGACGGTGATTGATCCTTTTTTGCCCGCGGTCCGACACCCACCAACAAGCGTTCGCGCGCAAAAACTTGGAATTATCTGCTGTACAACCCGGGGAACGCACCCGGCCGTACCGGAGATTTAAAGGCGGATAACCAACGCGGAGCGACGAGTGTGAAATGTCGCGCGCGAAATGAGAAATAACAGGAGTATCGATAAACTGTCGCTTACTTCATTTTTTTTTTCTTTTCATTTCACTTCTGTCACTCGTTAGGAAGAATTTCTGTCAATCTTTCTCTTAATCTTATCTAGACAATTCTTATGTTGCCAATATCTAGACTTCTTATGTTTATGGAATTTTTTGTTAATGTAGGTGTAACTTTGATACTTTTTTATCATAGGGTTAATTCGTGTTAGATATCGCATTATAGTAAGTACATACTTTGTACCATCTTCCATAGAAACACAGAGCGTGTAATAGGAGTAGAGAAAAAGAACGTAATTACCGTACTCACGATTCGAGACGATTTCAGTTGGATCGTTTCGCAGCAATACACTTGCCATAAAATCTAAAAGCTTACACGTAATCCCGTGGTAGAGAGTGTAGCTACAATTCTCGTCGAGTCGAAGGTAAGATAAAAAAAGGAAGAAGATACAAACATTAGCGTAGAAGTGGCAATTCCCCATCGTGGACCATTAACTCGCGAACAGCGCCGTTTCGCTCGTCTCGATCTGGGAATCGCGCGAGAATCCCACGTTCCATAAAGTGTTTCCGGCGACGTCGTGGCCATTGAATATCGATATAAACTGGAAGCGATCCTTGGGATACACCCACGCGTCCCGTTTCCCATAATCAAACGCTACCCTTATTAATTTATCAGCTCCTCGAGTCGAGTATCGTCTCGTCGTTCGCTCCCAGACGCTTCTCGATAACGCTTCACGGAATAAAACCCGATCCCAGCCGCGAATTTACCGCTCCGTCTTAATCGTCGCGTACGCCGTTTTAATAGGGGGACGTTTTCTCGGCTTAATCGAGCCGCGTCGCGGGCCTCGATCAGCGTGGAAAACGCGTCCAGGGAACGCCCAGGAACGTTACGCGTTGATTTTAATGGGACCGTGGCATCGACGAGCATTCAAACAAATCTGTCCACTCGGTACGACCGCGATACCCATCGAACGATCGTTTCAAGCTCTAACTCGTACGCGACAGCAACCGGTCCGCTTTTAACCTCGTAACGGCTCGGCATTACCCTCTTTGCTCCGTGAAACGCGTTAACTCGATGCTTGCTCGAAAGGGTGTGAATTCATTCCCATCTTCTTGTCACTCGACTTACATTCTAATTGCATTTTCAACCTCTGCACGCTGATTGGAAAACGCTTCTGCGAGGCAGTTTTCATCCAATTTCATATCTTCGAGCAAGGTTCAAGCGACCATCATGGTGGATGAAAATTTTTTCCTTTTTTACATTTTATATTATCACTTTTCTAATCAGAAAGTTCAAATACAGTATTTGGAACTTAGTTAGCGATTTAATTAAAGCATTAGCCAATATTCCGACTTCCATATTTCCCTCTTTCCGCTAGTATGTTAGTTTCACCTCGTTTACCGTATCAGTGAGAACGATCGACGTTTCAAATCGAGAATATTGAATTTCAATATTCTCTTTTCAATTGAACTGCTGCTGGAATTGAGTAGATCAAACTCGAATAAAATCTAGCCAGGGTAAAAGCTGATCATTTCACGAGCTGTCTATCGAGTGAAACTTAGGCAGTTTAAGGCAGATACCTCGTAACTCATACAACCGCGATAACGATTCTATCCTGTGAAAGAAGAAAAAAATGTAAAATGTAAAAGAGTGTACTTTATTTTATAATTACTCCACGGTCGAGCGAGCACGTGAAGCAAACGAATCGTTGACTCCATCTGGTCGCTACAATTAGTCGTGCTCATTAATAATCGTTATCCAAGCAAATCGTCAGATTTATTGGACTGTTTTGAAGCCCGTTGCCGATGCTGTTCGCGAGGTTTATCGTTAAATTAACGCATTTTCACCGGCGACAAACTGGTACCCGGACACTTATCGCTTTTGTACCTCGCTAGCTTGTAACGGGTCGTTCGTTGAAATTAATAGTAAAATACGAATATTCTCGTTGCAAAGATGCCGTATAAATATTACGTAATTACATTTACGTTTGGGTACGAGTGTTATCTGAAGTCGCGAGGGAACTTTCCGTCGAACCAGTGGTACCGGTGGCCGGTGGCAGTCGAATGAACACGAGATAAATTTCACCCACGTATCGACGATGATATCGAACTTTATTCGATCTTACCTACCACCGATCGTGATTTAGACTCGTGTCAAAAATAGTACTCGATACGAATGATAATTCATCGATCAGGTCTATAAATTTCAGCTCCGATCGTTATTCAGACGCCGCGCTGGTTATTAAATTGACGTCAGCAGGAAGAACGCGGTTTAGAATGGATTAACTTACTATCGCCTTTCAATTTTCATTTAATCAAAGCAAATCGTATGAATTTATTAATCAGTGTACCTATTGTTTTTCCATCTGATCACCTTTGGAAATTTTCTACTGGATATAGGAAAACGAAAAAAGGTACCTGCGTTGGCGTGATATCAATAAACGACGGTAAAAATTGCACGTGAGTTGGATCGATTCGCGGGTTTTATCGCGCGGAGCTGCGTATCGCACGTGCGTTCGATCGAAAGGTCGCCGGTGTGTTAACATTGGTAAGGATAGAAGGAAATGGAGAAAAAGCTAGCACGTACGTGGACGTTTCGAAAGGTTCTCGCGGAGTAACGCGATAAAAATCGTTGATATACTGCTCGAAAGGCCTTTGGAAAACGCTCGAGCTCTGGATAGAACGCGCACAGAGACAGGGACACACTTGTCCGTTTCGCTAAATCGCTTGAAACCATTCGAAATGCCATTTCAAGCCAGAAGCGAGAAAAAGACGGGCTTCGTTAGCTCGGATGAGTTTAATTAAAACGCGCTTCTTACCGGGATTTAATTAATGGACCTTTCAACGAATCATACCCGTTGTTAATGACACTTGTTTAATGGAAGACGCGGATTTATCCGAGAATATGTTGTTTGGAAAGTTTCAATTGACGATAATATTGATTCTCTTGTTAGATAAATTGCTTACACGTAACTCGATCACTTTTTCCATCAGATTTCACGTGAAAGTACTGCATTTTGCAAAGAAACTCGGAAATTCGATTATGAAATCAATAATTACCACTTTTCATATAATTATTGTTATCTTCTATCATGATTAATCTAAAGTGCTCCATGACACGATGATTTAACGGTATGCCTGATTATCAATTTTTCGATGAAAATTTCGTTACGTTTCAATTTTGCCATCGAATATAATTTAAGTAATGTAAAAAAAAAAAAAAAATTTCTTTCCAACGTACGGCAACAGTAAAAAGCTGAAAGTTTCGCTTGGAAATTGCATCGAAGGAAGTGCAAACGCGTGTACCGCGAAAACGTCAGCATTACTTTCGGCCCGGTGAATATTAAAAACTTACGAAACGTGACATAATTCGTGGATACTTTTTGCTCCGTTCACTTACCGAGTCGAGAACCGTTCTAAATGGATCAGAGCGAGAAATAAGGAGGACCATTTCACGGTTATCAGATCCGGCCGATTGTAAGAGAGAGAAAAAAAAGTATCGTGATGTAATGCAATTGGTGAACAGATTGTATTGAATATACAGGCATATAGATCGATACGATGATAAGGAGATCGCGTTGGTAGCGAGGAGAAGGCCATTAAAGAAACAAATAGCGAAGGGTGTGCTCGGAATGAAGGAAGAGGCGTGTAAAATGGGCCGAGACAGGTAAATCGACGGGAGAAAATAGATAACGAATAGCTCGATATGTTTAAACAACCTTCTTTTACTTTCATTATTTTTCACTCGGTATCACGGTAGCTCAACTTCGGAGTTTCTCTTCTATTAAGATAAGATCTTCTGGAAACGAGGGGAAGAAAAATGTGTGTTCCATAAATTTCTCCGAACCAGGCTGCTCGCGAAAAGGAAGAAACGTACGATGATAGATTTTTCGTCAGGGTACTCGATCATTTCATTGATCGTTTCAATATTCTTTGTCTTTTTCTTATCTCGGAATCTTGCGATCAGATAACATACTTTATAAGTAGAACGGAAATGAAACTAAATAACTTTACAAATAAATTTTATTTTTCAGAACTATATCCTCTGAATCGAAGCACGGTCGACCTTTCTTCGTTTCCAACGCATCGATCGGTGAGTTTAAATTCACAAATTTTCTGAATTTTTAATTGCATGCGATAAATAAATCTTAAACGGTGGCTGGTTCGATTTCTAATCGGTCGTTCAGCCGAGGCGAATGTCTCGCGATAAATATTCATGAGCGTCGCGAAACGGGTGAACGATTGAATTAAACTCGACAAATAAGTACATTGTTCCATGAATATCGCAATATCGCGACGACTATCGTCACGTTGCAGCGTTTCGCGCGCGAAACGAGTAGATACGAAATCCTCGGGCACGAGACAGCGCACACGTCCAGATGTCGCGTTTTAGATCCGTGGCACGTATTAGAGCCGAGGAGAAGGATTAAAATATCAAAGATTGCCCGCAGCTTGTCTCAAACCGGGCTGTCACGATTTCGACCAGCCCGATTCCGTATTATTACGTGAAACGAAATGTTAATAAATAGGTATCTACGTTAAATTAAACAAAAATATACGAGTCCTATTCAAATCTTGACTTAATTATCAAACTCGTCAATTAACTGCTGGGGGTTACTCCGATCCTCATGGATCGTGTTACACGATGGATCAAAACAACATATAGGGTTAGAGGAAAATGTCACGATCAATTGAAGGCGAATGGTCGAGCTTGTTTCGCGAAAGAAAGGCACAATGAGGCGACGAAGAGGGAATCGTGTCGGTCATTAACATAATTTCTGTACGGCTGCCAGCTGGAAGGTTGCGCCCGGTGGCCAAGGATCGATGCAAATCCCCTTTTCTCTACCGGCTACTTTCTCCCTGTGGCCAGCCCTTCTGTCTTCCTTTCCCGAAGGAAGATATGCTCGCGAGTATGGTCGAAGAAAAACGAGTTTGTCGTGAAACGAGCCAGCCAGCTTGCTCTCGTCTAAGAGAATCGTTCGTTCCAACCATTCCATGCTTTTTTCCCGGATGCATCAAGTCCATCGGTCTGCTCTCTAGAAATCCGCCCAGCGACTTTACTACCGGCGATCGTTGCTTTTTCGTCGGCTCTCGCTTATCAGCTGTTCCATCCTCCATTCCGAGTGCTTAGTTTCACCTCGTCCCTGAATTATCAAGTCTCCTCTTCTCAACGGTGAACACTAGTTTTATTCGATAACGGATTCACTTCTATCCGTCGATTCCTTACGACTTCGCAGCCATTCGTTCGATACCGTACGCGTGATTTTATTCGCGAAACCGAGTAAAAGCGTGACAACCGTCTTCTGTCCTGTCGAGACGCTGACAAGGAACTCGACGCAGCCTATCGATTGGACGTTAAAAGCCGCTTATCGATCGGCGATCGAACGATTTACGGACTAATCGATGGAAATTTTGCATTCCTTCCTGGATTCCAGTAGCGCCGTGTCTCAAAGGGAGAAGGAAAAGTATCCCCGCGTTTATGGGGATCCAAGACACCGAGCTGTTACGCAAGGGATCATTGATTTCCTTGTTTGCGACGGAAAGTTTTCAGCGTATTTGCATGTCACGCCGCGATCTACAGAGCGTCTTAAAATAGACGTTCATCGTATAAATAAGTAACTCATTATCTCTTATTGAAATCAACTAAAAGAGGAAGGATTCGATAAGGAAAGTTTCGAAAAAGTGTCGAACCTCGCGTCGCGTCGGTATCCTTCGATTCCCCGTCGCGCATTAAGGCGCGACCGTCGTCGATAAATCAAAAAATCTGCAGAAAGGTCAAGGCGCTCGTTATCTCGCGGTAACAGTGTCCCAAGATTTTTACGATCCACCGCGAATACCGTTTCTTCGGTTCAGCTGTTTTTCAGCGAACCACCGGACGACCGCCTCCATGAAATTCCACGACGGCCACGTCGGCCACGTCGCGTCGCGTCGCGACACCTGCGTCCTCCTGCTGGCTTTTCAGCGCCGAAACGACCGTACCGCTCCGTACGTACGATGCACGTACGAGGAACGTGTAAAGCCGAGACCTCGACGCGATCGTATATCAATCGGTGTATAGCCACGTATGTTGCGCGAATAAATATAATTATAAGTAAGAGCAAGGCTGGACCACGCCCTGTCTCCGCTCTCTTCTCTCTTTCTCCTTCCTTCCTTCCTTCTCTTTCTCTCTTGATATCTGCGTGAGCGTGTGTAACAACCGTACACGCTATCCTCGCACTCTCCTTTTCTATCCTTCGCGGTCTTCGTTGCTGGTGTCTTCGTCGATACGTAGAGATCTAACTTCGTTCGCCATCGTCGAACACGCTTACACTCTTTTTACCCAGTTTTATTTTCTATTTTGCTCTCTTTCCTCCGCTCTGTCTCAACCCCTCTCCGTTTCACCGGCGTGGATTTTCTTGTGCCCCTCTTTCTCTATCGTGTTTTTCCCCCCCTCCTCCCTCTCTTTCCCGGTTTTCCTGCTTCGTCCTTGTCTAACCGGCGTGCTTCTCATTGAAAGCATGCTGCCTCGCACGATAAATGGGTTTAGCTCCGGTTAGGTTCCTTTTCTCTTATCTTTTACGCTCCAACATACACACGCAAACTGCGCGTGCATCCACTCGCCCCGGGGCGAGTTCCTGTGGACGTCGCGAAATCCACGGACGATCGACTCCGATTAATGGAGATTCTTTTTGGGAATAATCTGTTTCGGGTAGTTTTTCAAATATAGGTAGGTCTTGATTAGTGCGAGTAATAAATCTCAGAAATTGTTCGCATTATTTGAATTGGTACTGTTCGAATACTTGAAATATAGGAAATATAGGGATACACCTATATTTCAAGCATTCGAATAGTATGAATTCAAATAATGCGAACAATTTCTAGGATTTATTACTCGCACTTATCGAGACCTACCTGTACCTGCTAATTAAATTTATCATTTCTATTTATTATTTCATATTTTTGATTCACAAATAGAGATTCATTCTATCTTCAATTTATTACCATTTTATAAATTCTAGCGAAAGCAATAGAATCGTTAACAGAGTTCAAAGTCGGATGTTTTAGAAAAGAATGGCCGCGCGTTATCACTGACTAGTAACTTTGAAAAATAGCAATAGTCTATGGCGGACCAGGTAGAGTACGAGAGGCAAGGGGAATGAGAGCTATCTATCCGTGGAACGAGTATCCGTTCATAAGTGTATAAATCAGGAAGAGAAACGCCGGCCACGTATTTTATAAGGCGCGCCGCGTCGTGCACGTTAACGAGATCGCGTTAATGTAAATTGAGAAAAACGTTTATAAGGGAGATGAGACGAGACGAGACGAGGATATTGCATATTCTCGGTAACGACGTGTGAAACAGTTGACAAAGAGGTTCTCGACTAACCCTGTGGATGTCAAATATAAAGAAGCCTCCAATGAACGCGGAGTTTATCGTGACAAAATCGGATGATAGATAAAATTTGTTTAATTGTTCATCGAGATTATGCCTCCATTATTTCTTCCGTTTTATGAATTTTTAACTGCTACATAAATTCTTGTTTAAACTCTCAACATTTTTTCACCAATTGTTTTCCAAGGCACAGATTTCGTGAATGAAAAGCTATATTAACCCTTTTATTCGAAGATTACACGTCTCCTATTCGACGCGTAACATCGTGTTCGACGAGTCACGATTGATTAGATATATCGCGAGGAAAAATGCGCGAATCGAGTGGAAACCTTTGAACATCATCCTCTTGTAAGTTGGACGGATCTTCCGAGATTCTTCTCGTGCAGCGTGTTATCCGTGTTGTTCGGGAACGTTAACGGGCATGCAAATCGACGTCTTGATCGATGCGACGACTCTCGCCGGATCCAGTTTCGCTCTGATCACATTGGATTAGCTTAACCATCGTGGACGTTCGAATGACTCGGCGATTATGCCCGGATAACCCCGTGGTTATCGTTTTGTCCAGGAAACGCGCGTTTGAAATACGCGACCCCCGTCTCTTAATGATCTACAGTGTTTCTTCGTCAAACGGCTGATTTGATGCCAATTCAAACGAAGACTAGCCGTTTCTCATCGTTTCAAGGACTCTCCTATTCTGATCGTCTAAAATCTAGCTCGCGTGTTCGCGAAACGCTTCTACGTATATTCTATACGCTCGATCTGGCCATTCAGCGGAGAACGGAGAAGTCTAGCTCTGGACGTTGGTAAAGGTACACCATTGTGTTCCTGTAGCATCCCCGAAACGAGAGGAAGAGGGAGGTCACGGTTAGCAGCGGGCAGAAAAAACGTCCGAGGATATTTCATTCTCCGCCGATGAGCACAATTGACCGAAGCGAGTAGACGGAAAGAGAGAGAGTTCGAGGGATGAGAAGTAGAAGAAGGTGAACGCAGCTGTCCGAACGGATCCACCGTCAGGTTCCTCTTTTTACCGCGGGCAAGTTGAACGACAGCCACGAAGAGAGCACAATCGGGCGGAATTAGCGAGCCTTGTGCTATCTCGGTTATTGTTCGTCGCGGCGCGCCGCGCCGCTTTACACGCGTCTAACGTATATTCGATCGTGTGCGAGCGCACACCTCGTGCATATCATCCGACGCCTTCGTATGTACCGTCGCGTCGCAAGCAGCTGTTTTTCTTACGTCACCGTACAAGAGGAATGCTTTTGATTTATGACGGTTGCACCGTTCGCCATCTCCTCGCCCTGGGGCTCTCCTTCTCGCGCACAGTACACGGGTAACCGCGTCTCTGTCGACCTCCCTGCACTTTCCAACAGGCGAGCCGCGACAATCGCGATCTCGTATGCACGGATGAAAAGGGGCGTGGATCGCTTTTTAGCAACAGCCTACCTTTGTTATAGTAGCACCAGGAAGTGAAAGATCAGAGGAAAGCTTTTTCAGATACTCGAGGGATTTCGGGGTTGAAGGTTATCCGCGACAACTCGGAGGCGTTCTCTCGGATTATAGAATTATTGGTGTAGAAGAGGGAAGGATTTCGAGTATTCTCGAGGGTTGAAGGTTATCCGCGACACCTTGGGTAGCTGAAGGAAGCAAGCGTAACGTATTCGAGAGCAGTGGCGGCTGGTAGCTAGAATTAGTGGGGGTGCTGCTCTAGAAAATGTTCAGCC